ACGATAAGTTTGAAAAAATGTCTAGTTGACATTTGTTTACATTTTGACCTAGTTTTTACAGCAATGAGCAAATGAAGGCCTATAAAAGCTTAGATTCTTACAAGTATTTCGAGTATGGCTTTATTTTAGATGCAGGAACAGTGGTACTGAATAATTTCTACGTTTTAATTGGAAAAATTTGAAAGGTTGGGTACTGAAAACAACCTGACATCATTCTTGTTGAAACGCCTTCTAAAATCAACTACAATAAGACACCTTTGTGGCATTTTTAATTAGAAAAAAGCCTAATGAAGTCAATAAAATGAAAAAACAAATATGGTTTAGTCACAAAACAACCACACAATCCACTTTAAAAAGCTTTAAATTGTGTACTGTCATATAGGAAATAAGGAACTTCCGCCACGAACGCCATTTTGGAATAGTTTTGACAGGTCGTTGGAATGCCTTACACATAACCTCACTTCCGCTTGTCACCAATGACAAAACGTGACTTTCGTTAGGGGGACAAACATGTCATTGAGGTTATGTGTGAGACGTCAGCTAGCACCTAATTTGATCTCTAATATACAGGGTATCCCAATATTTGACCGTAAAAGCTTGACAGGTGATCGCGATTTTTCATAAAAATTGAGGAATATACAACCTTAAAAGTGCTTAGTTTTCAAGATACAGGGTGTCAAAGTTTCATTTCTATTTGCGAATATTGTCAATTATAGTGGCGGTGGCGCCCCCTATTAGGTATATTAAAACCGTGAATGAATTTGTATCTCTTGCCTTAACAATTTAATTTCCCGATACGTAATATGGGATCGCTGTATCATTTTATTAAGGAACAATAATAGGTCTGTTTCTGCAGAAATCACAAACCAGTCAGAGTGAATTTCATTGGTTGAAACTAGTTTTCTGACTGTTTTCAACCAATGAAATTCGATCTGACTGATTTGTGATTTCTGCAGAAACAGACCTAATATTTGTCAAAATTCGATAATAAAAGTAAAACTTTGACACCCTGTATTTTGAAAATTAAGCACCTTAAACAAGGTTCCTGAAGTTAATAGGTTGTCTGGTAATGAATAACTTGATGACGCATCTGGGATGCCTTATGGAGGATTTGAATTATGTTGAGGCACCCCAGATGACGTCATCAAGTTATCCATACAACTTACCTCTCTCAAGTAGCCTTGCATTTTGAAGTTTTGCTGAATGTTTTCAACTCAATTTTTATGGAAATGCGAAACGTTTCTCACCATTCTGTCACTTGTGAAGGGTTGTCGGTAGAACTGTTAAACATCCGGACCACGATTTTTGGAATCAAGGTTATGTTGTGTTGTCTCGTTGTTGACGTCATCAACAGTGTTGTTAACTGTTTGCCCCAGCGCGCGGTCGTAGTTTAGAATATAAATTTAGGATGAATTTAATTTAAATTAACAAAATAGGCAAAGGGAATCTAAAAGAGAGTTATTTTGGAATGTTAATTAATGTGCTAAGACCAAAGGTGTTTTCACGCGTTTTAAATGTTTCAAAACTGGTTTAAAACAGTGTCACATGACGTCATAGCTTCTCGGCGCGTGAAAATTGTTTCAAAACGTGGATTGAATTGTATTTCTAAACGGTTTGAACCAATCTTGATGTGACGTCATGGGTTCATCGCCAGAATATTCTGTTTCAAAATTGTTTTCAAAAAAGCGAACGTGTAAAAACAGCCTATTTATGCATAGAGCAATAGCCAGTGGAATCATAGCCTGTGGTGCAAACACCCCACGTCAAGGCGAAAAATGACACGCGGACTACGTCATCACTGGTATTTTGGCATTGTGTGGGGTGGGGCTTGAGATTCGATCTACACAGGCCTTATGAGGATAGACTATCCTGTGTAGTATATAACTATCAGATAATAATACTTTGACAGTTGCTTGGTGTATCAAGGCCACTAATAGCCATTTGCACCGACCATTTTAGGGAGGTTTAACGATAATCAACGTTTAAAGTGACATTTGTACATGTAGAAGTGTCACTTTAAGCGTTGATTATCATTAAATTACCTTTAAAATAGTTGGTGCAAACGGCTATAAGTTTCAAGGTGTTCTGTTTCTAGACGAAAAAACACACATAGCTATCAAAATGGAGAAAATTTCCACAAATATCGCAGGTAAATTTGACAGTTTTCAAATGTCAAATTCCAACGATGTTTGAGGTTTCGATTTGTTCATGTTGTATTGACAATGTTGCCAAATTTTGTAAAAAAAATACAGTGTGTGCCTTAAGGTACACGACAGAAGTGAAAAATTCAAAAATCAAAAATTATTAAAACGTAGGTTAAGCAGACAAATATCACGTAGATGCTTGACAATTGCCGCCATATTGAATCCCAATCCTGGCATTTGTCATTTGGATCGTTAAGCTGTCATAACTTTTATGACGTCATCTGTATCCCTAGCGTAAACATATTGTAAATTTCCATAAAAACCATCTAATGACGTCATCGGTTTGTCATTGCCAGACAACTTAAGCAATAAAAATTTTGCCAAGAAATCGACAACGTCGCCGAAATTTGTTCTAGGGAGAGTCTCAAGGTCTGTTTTCACAAGAGTCTCAGTCAGTTTGCAACCTGTCAGACACAATCGCTCAGCTAAGTTAGCGATTTATCATATGGAATGACGGTATTGAAAACATTTATGTGCGATGCTTTGTGACAGTTTGCAATCTATCAGAAACTCCTGTGAGAATATATTTTTGATTGATTCTCTTTCTCTCTCTCTCTCGCACTACTAACTCTGTCTCTCTATTGCTTGACTGAACTTAACTCGAGCCGAATATTATCCAACCGAGTGACCGTTAACAAATCGGGTGTGACGGCTCAATCTCATTGACTACTCAGAAAATGTTTTGTGCAGAAAGCGTCTAAAAAGTTTTCACGTCAAAAATTGACAACTGCTAGATAGTTTGACAGTTTAAAACTTAAAATTCCATGGCCAACTAGTTTTCTTTCAGCGTAATAATGTTGCCAACTTGTAAAATTTGGGCAAAAATCCACGGAAACTTATTCCTTTGAAGTAATGAATTTGATGATGAAAAATTTGATTTTCATTTACAAATTTTGAAAATTCGTCCCCAATTTTTACAGTTGAAGTCTTTTTCAACTTCAAGAGACTGAGGCATTTACGACTTCAGCAAATTTTGCTCGGTTTATAGAGAATTTGAAGATAGTTCTGGAATTTTTTAAAAGAACATTCCATAAGTAGGTATATTGATTTTGATGGTAGAATGTATCCTGGATATGTATATATACAAGATATTGATGAGATTTTCTTGGAATATTTTGAACGTCTTCAAAAATAACCTACGCATTTTTCCTTGATCCACAGCTTTGAATAAGCTTCTACCAGATTATTATCCAGGAAAGGGTTTTTCTTTTTAGAAAACTTACTTTAGCTATCACTCAAAAAATCATCTCGAACTTTTCTCAATGTCCAAGTCCAATACGAATCCAACAAAAGTGTGATAGAACAAAAAAATGACAGTTCTTAAGTACTTTATTAGGTACTCAGAAAAAAAAATTAAAAATCACGCACTCAAATTCAGACGTTTCGCGCCCAACTTTGTCGTCGTCGTCGCGACGCTGCACCGCAACCAGTAGTAACCAGACGCCGACATTATCCGTCCGCACGAAAACTGGAAGCTGAAGCTGAAACTGATAAGGCATCGGTTATGTTCAGGCGGGGGGGGCGTCGCGACGCGCACGCTTCTTTTCCAGGTGGTTTTCGATGAATGATGACCGTCGTTATGATGCTCTCATCCTAAGGAGAATCTGCCAGAGAATATATTTTACGACTTGTCAGTATAGAGGGTCCAGAATTTGGGGGAACAAATTTGATAAATAAATTTGGACTATAAAGTGGAAATTGTGAAACATTGTATGAACTTTTCCCAAAATATGTAATTCGTCATTGAATTGATTAATGTATAATGTAATTGTATTGATAAATTCGATTTTCACCTCCAATAGGTGGTTTTATAATGCATTTTTATTTTGTATGCGTTCATGACATTATTTTCAAGTTTAACCAGATTTTCGTCTCACTACCTACTAAAGGCATTCGAGGGCATAAGACTTGGAGGTTGAAAACAATCCTTACCTATTCATCAATCACATAATAATTCATTATGCAAATTGCCTGAAAAATTATTAACAATTTGCCTCTATATATGCATACACAGTTATTATGTCATTGTGCAAAAGAAAGCAAAAATCGGTTTTTAGTTCAAACAAATTTTTTTTTTTTACTTCCTTGTACGTAAATGTATACCTACAACAATAAACTGCAATAATGTTGTTATGATTTTATCCAATGTCTTCAAACTAGGTCAAACGTGAAATTTTTTTAAGCTTTATTCACTTTAACCCGATGTTTATATTAGTTTGTTTATAATTATGTGTTAATGAATATTTAATTTTGTTTTTGATTTATATTTGGAAGGTCAGGGGCTTCGGGATTTTTAATCTTTTATTTGTAATTTTTAATGCAAAATGGACAAGGATTTGTTGTGGACAAATTTGAAACATTTTACTTGTGCTTGACAATATAGAAAAAAAGCGGAAAAATATTGTTAAAATTTCTATTAAAAAGAGCATTAAATTCTTTATAATTGAGTTCGATATCTGAAATATCTGGTTACTATATGTTGATATCTGAAATTTAAGTATTTGCAACTCAATTGTCAAATTTCTTAAGAATATCTCAATCAATGATGTCGATCTCTATCAGAATCAAATTAACTTGTAAAATCAAACTTTTCATAATATATGAAACGTAATTTCTTTCATATGCAATATTTGTAATATCTTAACTTTTCATAATCAATGCCTATATGAACATTTACCAATAATTAATTCATAGTACACAAATACATAATTTTGTAATAATTTTCTCCAACCAAAAAGCTCTCCCTCTCCTTTGGTTTTTAAGGCAAGATAACATTGATATGTAGTTTTTTGGTGAGCGGAACCCATTGCGCGTTCTCGTTTCTTTTGTAGTGGTACCGCATATACGCAAAAAGGTACTCGAGGTGCAGTTTTTGTCGTTGTCGGGTACTCACTTGATTAAGTTAAGTTTTTTTTTTTTTATTTCAGGCTTGAGGTGCTTGAAGTTTATTTAGGTAAGTGAATTTTTTTCTACCTTTTGTAATATGTATTTTGTTTAGAGGTTTTATAGAAACAATTTTCGTTGTAATATGTAATTAATTAGGCAATCAAAAAATATATTTGAATTTAATATTCTTAACTCATTTTTAACTGTTCTATGTTTTTCGCTCCAATTTTATTTATTCAATTTATTCGAAATTATGAAATGAATTTTCGGGAAAAATTTTGAAAGAAAAAACACATAAAGTACTGAAAAAAACTTTCCAAGCCTTTCCTTGTCGCATTTTCCTTGTTCTGTCGTTATTTTTCTTCTCATTTGCATCTTTTTCCTCATTTTTTGTTTCTTTTCAGTTCTTTTTAACTAGTTTTGTTCCAATTATTAAATTTCCCTGACCTTTTCTTTGAGTTTTCAAAGCTTTTTCCAGCGATTTACCTGATGTTGGTTTTCATTTAAATCTTTTATTAATAGTATCCACTTAAATAGTGACTATTTATTTAACAAATATTTGTATTTAGTAGAATAACTTCCCAAATAATGACATTTCGAAAAATTTAATAATTTGGCACCATCGCACCTGTCAAATTTTATCGGTCATCTACGATTTAAATTACAACGATCTCTTCATTTTTTTTTTCTTTATGTTACAATTTTTTCAATAAGAAAGAACGATATAAGAAATTCAATGAATAATATAGGGACACAAATAAAGTAGGAAATAATACATTGTGCAAATTCCTGGCGCTTGAGTAGGTATAAACTTGTGATTTTTTTAACTTACCAATCAAGAGCCTGGAATGATAAAGAAAAATTAAAAATGATGTAAGAAATTCAAGCAATAAGTAAGAGACTCAGATAGAGTAGGATGAAGAAATTGTGACTCAAATTTTCAATATTTTCGACTTTTGAGTAGACTTCTGATTTCAAGAGCCTGGAATAATAAAATAATAAAGAACGATATTATAAATTCAATGAGTGAAAGAAAGACACACAAGTAAAGTAGTAGGATCCATATTGTGTCACAATTTTTTTTCTCTGTTTGTGTCACTGTCTTACTCATTGAATTTATTACATTGTAATTTTTTGTTGATGTAATTTAATTTACTGCTGCTTTTATAAACTCCAATTATATTGAAGAGGTTTACCGTTTTCCGTTTAAAAAACCACAGTTTAGTTCATATTTTACCTTAAGGGAACGTTAATGACATTTGAAATCCGTAAGTCTTATGTTTTTATTGGTTGATTTTTTTAAAATTCGTCTGCAAAGTAAAAAAAACTCACATCAGAGTAAATTCACTCCACACTTTTGAAATAATTTTCGGGCAGCAAACCTCAACTTTAACAGTCTTAACAAATCTAGTAGGCCATTTGTAGCGCTTTCTTTGAACCATCAGTGACAAAGACAGCTTATGAATTCTTGAATTTTTCAGCTTGAGAGACGAAAGTCGAGACAAAATTAATAGTTTTCTTATTCCCGGCTCTTCAATTGAAAAACTAAAGAAAACAGGGAGGGGCTCAAGATTTTGGAATAGACAAATAATTGAGACAAAAATAAATAAAATTTGTTTTTTTTTTTAAAGATAATTCCCCAAGTCAAAAATTTAGTAACTATGTTGGCAACACAAGCCATTTCTACATAAAAAATTTGAAAGCATTGACAATTTTACATTGTATTGCCAACATAATGTCATTTTGACTTTTATCTTTTAAAAAAAAACAGACTTTAAGTTCTACTTCGAAAAAAAAAAAAACATCAAGTTTGACATTTTAAGTAGTTAGCGTTTTCGTTAAGTTGCACCTTCTCTCATGTGGTTATTTTATACTGCAACAAAAATAGTGTCATTTAAAATAAATTCACTTCACACTTTTCAATCACCACAACTTTGACAGTCTTAACAAATCTAGTAGGCCATTTGTAGCGCTTTCTTTGAATTATCAGGAACAAATATAGTTGCTGACAATTCTAGAATTTTTCAGATTGAAAGCCTGGAATAGACGGAAGTCGAGACAAAATTAATAGTTTTCTTTTTCCTGGCTCTTGAATTGAAAATTTTTAAAAAACAGGAAGGTACTCAAGAGCCTGAAATAAACAAATAATTGAGACAAAAATGATAAACTTCTACATTGAAAAAAAAATTGACATTTTAAGTAGTCATGTCAATTATAGCATTTTTGTTAAGCTACATCCTCTCTCATGTAGTTATTTTATAGAGTCTAGAGTCCTTCAGAGTAAATTGACTCTACATTTTTGAAATAAGACTCGGGCAGCAAAATAAAAGCACCTCCAATTTGACAGTTTAAAAAAATCTACTAAGCCATTTGTAGCGCTTTTTTTGAACCATCAGTGACAGAGACAGCTTATGAATAGACCTATCTATTTTACCAGACAAAGAGGTAATAATACGAAAAATGTATTAGATAAAAAAAGACGCAGAACGCTTATTACGCAAGACGAGGCAAAACGTACCAAACCATGTTAGACTTACGTATAGCAATCCCTTCATATTATTTGCACGGGATAAAAAGGGAAAGAGGAAAACCGCGTGACGTGCAACGTATTTGTCAATCAAAAACACAAACAATTGACAATCGATTACTTGTCAAGCCACGTCAAGTTATTTATCAACCATAATTCTGATCCTTGTCAGACCACGGGCAATGAACAAGGACAAGGAGATGCCCAGCGTGTAAAACGAACACCTCTCGCCTGTATTAGTTAGCCAATAAAAATGCATTGCCTCGTGTTGCGCGCGCATACAGGTAAAAATAGATAGGTCTATTCTTGAATTTTTCAGCTTGAGAGCGATAGACAAAATTGATAGTTTTCTCATTCCCGACTTTTGGATTGAAACATTTTAAAAAACAAGGAGATGCTTTGGGTGCTCAAGGGCCTGGAATAAACAAATAATTGAAACAAAAATGATAAAATTCTTCACCGACAAAAAAAAAAAAAAACATTGTTAACTTTGACGTTTATAATATAATATAATATTAAGATCAATAAGTGTAGCGTTTTCGTGAAATTACACCCTTTTTTATGTGGTTTGTGATTTCTATTGTAACAAAAATAGAGTCATTCGGAGTAAATTCACTAAATCTCGGACAGCAAAACGAAAGCACCTCAACTTTGACAGTTTTAACAAATCTAGTAGGCCATTTCTAGCGCTTTCTTTGAACCAACTTTACCTGATTCGAGCTTCAAATCCTGATGTGATTTGACAATTTTGACAGCTTCTGAAGCGTTTTCGAATCGGTACAGAGACTGCTAGAACGCGAATAAAACGCTGGAAAATCTCGATTTTCGCCCAAGGAAAACGCCTTGAATTTCCTGTAGAAACACATCGAATTCCATAATTATCCGTTTGTTAGTATTTTTTTTTTGCGATATCCATAATAGATTTGACTCTGCTTGAAATTATTGCCACGTTAGAACGTCGCAATTCCGGTTAAATCGGCTGAAATATCACCTTGTGATTTTTAATAACTCTGAAAATTAAAATAAGTCTGCCCCTCCTTAACAGTGTCAAAAATTGCTGAGTATTTTTGATTGGTTCTTTGAAATCCTATATATTCATATGGAAAACGCCGCCATTTTGTGTCCTACCTCTTACTAATTTTAAATATAAATAGGATTTTAATGGACATCCATCATTCAAAATTAAAAACAACGTATTTGATGTACCTAATTATAGTCATCAAATATGTTGTTTTCAATTTTTTATGAAATATTATGCCCATTTAAATCCTAAATATAGTTAGAAATAGGGCACAAAATGGCGGCGTTTTCCATATGAATATATAGGATTTTGAAAAACCAATCAAAAATGAAACAGCAATTTTCGCCACTGTGGTTAGAGTCACTGTACTCCTAAATGTTTGGTTGCTTCCTCTGTTAACAAAACCTAGCCACAGGCCTGACCGACATCATCAAAATTCGTGTCACAATTTTTTTATTCTACTTTGTATCTTTTTCTTACTCATTAAATTTCTCACATCCTTGTTTGTTATTTCATTATTCTAGGCTTTCGATTGGTCAGACAGAGCCTACTCGAACGCCGGGGATAATGGAGATATAAGAAATTCAATAAGAGAGAACAACACAAATAAAGTAGGATAAAATAGTGCGTATTCTCGGCGCTTGTGTAAACTTGTGATTTTTGTGTCTTACCAATCCAAGAGCCTGGAATAATAAAAGTATTAATAATAACATAGAAAATTCAGTCAGTGAGAAAGAGATACAGAGTAGGATAAAATATGTAATTGTGACGCGAATTTTCATTATTATCGGCGTTTGAGTGGATTTCTAATTTCTGAGTTTGGCCAATCAAAAGCCTGGAATAAATAATGAAGTAAGTACCATATTGTAAATACAATGAGTGAAAGAGAGGCATAATAGCAAAGTAGTAGGACAAAAGATTGTCACAATTTTTTCATCCTACTTTATCTGTATCTCTTTCTTACTACAGTGGCTAAATAAACCTTTACATACAGTGGCGACAATAGAGTTCCCGCCGCCATCTTGTTCCCACCTTCTTGTTACTTTCAAATATTAATATATAAGATTTAAATAGACATCTATCATAAAAAATTAAAATCGGCATATTTGATGACCATTATTAGGTTCATCAAATACGTTGTTTTCCATGTTTTTCTTACTAATTTTCTAATGTCATGTTTTTGACAGTTATAACGACTGTTGAGTTTCTTTCTATTTCCATAAAACAAAATGTTCGCATCCGAATAATCTATCACTGGCCGAGTACGTTTTTGTCATCTTTTTCGTTAATTTGCTCTGAAATTTTGACAGGCACGTGACTAGATAAGACAGTTTCAAGTTACAAATCACGTGCCTGTCAAAATTTCGGAGCAAATCGACGAAAACGAACTCGGCCAGTGTTGAATTTGCTGGAAAAATTTTGCGATATTATAGTTATTTATGTATCAAGGGAATTATGAGGGTATTACACCTGATAATTCCCGTGGTACATAGATAATTTTATTTCCCACTGAATTTAC